AGGAAGGTTGGGCAATCCTACTTCCGTAGTGATACTGCCTCGGAAACCCAAGGAGGGGTCGCTATGAGTCAGGGCTGACTTGACGGCACATAACAACAACAACAACAACAATTCCCTATATGTGTATCTGTTTTACTCTCTGGTCTCACAATTTTAAATGGTGTAAAACAGCAAGAAAGGGAAAAGTAGAATAAGATTATTAACTCTATCTGGATGCCAGTGTGCTTCATCTATATTCTTTGTATCCCTTGGCTCTTTTTCTTAATCCTAGTAATGATGAAGGTATAGGTCTGGGTGTTTGTGGATGTATTTGTCCTACTTGTTGATTTTATGAGGTTTTCTTAAGGTGAGGGGAGACAGAAGTGTGTGGGGGGAGCAATCTGGTATCAGGAAGCTTCCACCACTCTGCACACCACCAAATTGTTTTTAATAGTTGCACAGTAGTCCACTGAACGGATATACCATAGTTTATAGAGCAAGGCCCCTATTTTTTGGAATTCTAGTTGTCTACTTTCTCACTATAGAACTTTGTAGAACATTCTTGTACACAGATCTCGACATACATCTCATGATTTCTTTAATAAAATTTTAGTACTAGAATTGCTAGGCCAAAGGACATCTCCATTTTTAAGGCTTCTGACATCTACTCTGAGACAGTCCAGTGTAAAGTATTCTATATAAAATATGTATGTCTTAGTCTCTGGTCTATTTGCAACAACTTTTAAAATATTAAATGTGGAAGTAAGACATAAAAGGCTCACTGGATTTCATTGCTATGCTTCTCAAGTGTGTGCCAAGCTCTCATGTCTATGATGGTGAGTTTTTAAAATGTTAAAATAATAATTAGCATTCTAGTATAGAGTTCCAAACCCTAATTACCTTTTCTGCTTCCCGTGTATCATCAAAGAGTCTTCTCTGCCTTCTGGCAGGAATTGGCTTAGCTGTTTCCCAGGCCTCTACCCACATATTGCTTGGAATCTTCATTCGGGCACTCAGTTCTCCTTTCAAAACCACATTGCCCTTTGCATCAATCACCTCCTCTTCAATATAGTCCCGGGGCGAGTACCACCTCACAAAATCTTCCAGAAAACAACCGGGGTTAGCTGCCTAGAATAAGGCAAAAAAAAAAAAAAAAAACAACCCAGTAGATTCAAATAAAAATATCAATGGTTACTGATAAAATCTTTATTTGTAAAATCATACTTTCGTTAAGTATGATTTCACAAGTAACTAGCCTTTACAATCTAATATGTAAAATAAGTTTGGGTGTCTCCTTTAAAACAGGGCAGATGCTGAAGGACTAAAACATTTTATTTTTGCTATCTTGGTTATATAAGGAAAAAAAAAATTTATGTAATGAATTTGGAAATAAAAACTTGATGAAAGGTGAAAATACTTTTCCTAAGCAGATTATGAAGTTATATAACTCAGTTTAAAATTATACTGTACTCAATACTTACAAAATATCAAATAAACAAGTCAACTAAATTAAATAATACACAACACGATCAGAATAACAACACAATGATGGAAAATTCTGCTCTTTTTTCCCTCAATAAATCAATACTGGTTCTGTGATAAATATGGGTTAATTTCAAAAAATGTTCTATTCAGCCATCTAATTCTTGCTCTATATAACAAATTACCATCATATAAATTGTTTTTATGGTGTTAAGGAACTGGAATTCAAACGTTGTTTTCCAGGACTCTGAAAACAAAACTAAATAGATAAATGTATAGAATTAACAATGAGGCACTCTGAAACTTTACAGTGATTTTAGAAGCTTCACAGTGTTAATGGTAAGGCATGTGCGGTGTAGTAAATTACTTAGTGTGGCTTTTCTACCCATAAGTCTTTGTAAACTCCAAGGTGGGAACTGCTATTAGCAACTGAGAAGATCCTGATTTTAAAGTCGCCCACCTGGGTTATTTCTGTTGGGCGTGGCACAATACAATGTTCTGGGAGGTTCCCACTCTCTCTCACGTGCTTAGAGTTCTGATGCTGTGATTGGCTAGTTTGACCACCCTTCCGGGCTCAAAAGGAGGCCTCTTGGAGGCAGAACTCTCTCTGACTGCTGGTGGAGGAAGACGTGCTGCCGAAAGAAACACGCACCCCTGAAAGAGACACGTGCTGCTGGGAAAGAGCCACCCCTGAAAGAGACACATGCTGCTGGGAAAGAGCCGCAAGAGACACGCATCACTGAGTGAGACACCGAGGGACCAGCACTGCTGGAAAAGAGACTGTGAGAGACTTTTGGCTGAGGGATGGTGGGCTGGGAGAGAGACTGAGCGTTCTTCCTGGACTTGAGTTGTAGCCTGGTGCTTCCCTAATAAACCCCATAATCTGTGAGTTCTGTGTGGCCACTGCAGTGAATTATCGAACCCAGGAGAGAGGTGGTGGGTGCCTTGGGAGGAACGGTTGGTGAAAGGGCTGGAGGGAGGCAGCATGTCTGGCCTTGCAGTAATAGGCCTTGGGTTACTGCTGGTAATCCTGCCTTCCCCTTGTAGGGTTAGAGGAGGTCAGAACATGTGGCCTCCTTGCCGTTTTTGCAGCATGGAAAAGTATTTTTTGCAAAAGTGTTCAGTAATATATATTAATGGAACTGATTTGATGACAACAACAATAATAAATTAATTAAAGGATTAACAAACATTAGTTAATTAAAGGACATACACACAATCATCCCCTTAATACTCAAAGGACAGTATGTATACATATATTAAACGCACACATATTTGGCTATATTAGTTATATTCTCTATTAAACAATCACATCAAAATCTTCTTGCTTATGAGTATATTATATTTAATTGCCTATAATTGTGATGTATGGAATAGTAAAACTGGGCAAAACTGCCAATTCCTCCACATCGGGGTCATTGCCTACCAGCTTAACTATCCTCACCAGCTTAAAAATCCTCACTAAGAGATTAGGAACTCTCCTAAGCCCCTAATATCAAGTTATTCCTACACAAAAAGGAAACTGCAACTGTATCTACTTTAGAGTGGCTAAATATTTCCTTAAATATATAATCAGATTCCTATATGAGGCAGATGTGTGAATTTGCTATTTGAAATGCAATATATTTTCTTGTTGGCCACTGTCACTCAATTCCTTGCATTCTTATGTTCTAAAAACACTGGCAGCTTCTGGAAACTTCCCACAAGTGAAAGAATGCAATGACCATAGGCACAGATATTCTGAATCTCCTTGGCAATTATATTTCTCATGGAAAATTTTTAAAAATAGTGTTATACAAATCAGCCTCTTGTTTGCTTTGTTCAAGGTAAGTATATCCCTTGCAGCAATGTTATTTTCTAAAGATGGTTACAACATCTTGTCATTCATCTTGTAGGTTCTTCCACGATGACTTTGTCCTCTGGCAAGATTTAAGTGACAGTAAAAGTCTGTCTTTTTATTCCTTGCTTATTTCTCTCATCTTCATTAAAATGAGAAATTATTAGAAAACCTCTTAATGGCTGCATATTTTCCCTAGAGACTAAAAGATACAGAAAATCTATGATTTCTGTTCTTTAGTGAGACATGATCCTGGGTGGGCTAATGACTGCTATGACCAACAGATTATAGTAGATGGGATCCAATGTGACTTCTGAGGTCACAAAAGGCAATGCAGCCTTGTTCACTAGACTCTACTTAAGAACTTCAATGAACCCAAAGCCACCAAGTTGTGAAGAAGTCAAGCCACATAAAGAGGCCACATGTAGGTGCTCAGTTAGCAATCCTGGTGTTTGAGCCATCCAATCCCAGGCGTCAGGATATGCCTTAAGATTATCATAGGTTTCAGTCTTCAAGTTTTCTAGTGGAGGCCTCAGATATCATGGAGCATAGATAATCCATCCCCACTGTGCCCTATCCAAATGTAGGGGCTTAATAAAATGGTTGTTTTAACTCACTTAAAACAAAAGAAAGAAAGAAATACAATCTATTTTCCAATGAAAGATTCATGCCTGGGTTAGTCCAAAAGAGCCTACTGATCCACAGTTTTGCTTAAGCACAGTGTTAAAGTAATTACATAGACCCTTACAATAAGGGACAAATGTGTTTCCGTGGAAAACTTTGACAATTCCAATTTGGAACTTCCTCTTGCACATGCCTGTGCAAGGATACTATAGCAGGACAGGAACAGGTAACTAGGAAAACAGCTAGAAGACAGGTGACAAACAGCTGCTGTGGAGGTTCATTCTTCCTGTTGTGCCCATACACCCTAAGCCAACTCCCGTCTCGTCTCACTACAGAACAGAATTCATAGATTTTCTGTATCTTTTTAGTCTCTAGGGAAAACGTGAAGCATTTAGAGGATTTCTAAAGTTTTTCCCTTTAAAAAGAGATGAGGGAAATAAGCAGGGAATAAAAATGTTCCCTTTTATTGTCACGTAAATCTCCTGGAAGGCAAGGATGAAAGTGGCACAGGTGTTCATAGGGTGCTTATGTGTTTTATAAAAAGCACAGGTGTTTCAGAGGAAAATCATCCTCGGGCTATTCACAGTGCACAGAAGCAGCCCTGAGGAAAGACATCAATAGGGAGTTGGAGGCCTTCACAGGCAGCAGCAGGGTAAGAGGGACAGTGGGCCAGGAAACAGGGTGTCAGCAGCAGCAAAGTCAAATCCTGTGGCCCACTGGGCTTTCCACTTTTTTTTTTTTTTTAAACTTAAAATATACACAAGGTTGGACTCTGCTTTCAAGGGTAAGTAAATCAAACACTAAAGTCCTATATTCTTCCTACATTTCTGGAAAGAAGTCAAACATCACAATTCCTTGAATCCTTGGTATTTTAGACATAATCTACGCCTAGAATATCCTTCATGTAGCAAATGCTTACTCATCCTAAATGATAACTTTTCTGAAAAACCTTCTATGACCCACTCAGCAAAGTCAGTCACTTCTTCTGACATGATCTTCATAACAAACTCAGAACATAATAATTATTTATGTATCTCCTCCCCACAACCTCAGAAAGTGTAACTGAGGATAATCAATGTACTTCTAACTCATCTAATCACAGGCACTCAAAGGTCTGTTGTATGAAGTCACCTATATTAAATCCTGAGTTTCCTAAAAGGCTTGCATTAAATTGGCTGAATACACAAAAAGAAAGACAACACCCAACACATATATAGAAATGATTCAATTCTCAACTTCCAACTATTATTTAAAGATTCCTTTTTTCTTCTTCTTCTTTTTAAACTTAAGAAACAAGTCTGACTATGTCCTTTTGGGGGGTCAGAGCATGGTGTTGTAACCACTAATGAAATCAAAACACTTAACAAAAAAAGACAGGCTTTCATATCACTTTGTAGAGTGACTTTCACAGTTCCATCCCAGAATAGCTCAAAATAGACCACAGAGCTCTAAAAGTGTGACCCACCTTAAAAGACTCCATATCTGAGAGCAAACAGGCACTCTGCATGCGTGCTCGAAGGTGAGCCCCTTCAGCTGATGTGCCTAATTTAGCTAAAACCTCAGACTGCTCTTCTAGCAGATCTTCTGTCATAGGTGCTGGTTCCTGTGAAGCACAAAAGGACAAAGCTCACGAACAGCCTTTTCTTAGACAAAGCAGAACGACAAAAATAGAATGGAGACAATTATTTAAGATCTAGCAGTCACAGGATATGCATTTAAAAGAATTTAGAGAAATGAAAGTTTTCCAGAACCTACATTAAAAAGGAATAAATTAAGAAGAACAAATAAATATGACTTTCAGCCCCCTCAGATATGACTACTTGAGGATTGACAATTAAAAGATCTGGGTCAACTGAACAACATTTTCTTATCAGCTAATAATAAAGAAATGAAGTCCTAAATGATATCATTATGTATGTCATTTAGTTGCAACTAGATTTTTATTATAACTAATGAGAAAAGAGAATTGAAATTATATATATATATATATGGGAGCTCTGATAGCATAGTGCCTAAGGCACTTGACTGCTAACCAGAAGGCTGGCGGTTCAAACCCACCAGCCACTCCTCGGAAGGAAGGTGGGGCAATCTACTTCCGTAGTGATACTGCCTCGGAAACCCAAGGAGGGGTCGCTATGAGTCGGGGCCAACTCAACGGCAAATAACAACAACAACAACATATATAATGCAAATTAATTGAACCCCAAATAAATAAGTTTTGTGTCACAGAATTTGAGTTAGGTTCCTAGACATTCTAATTATTTATTCCCATAAGAAGCTGTTGATTTCCTGTTTTTAGGCTCAAACACATTATATATTTCAGTGGTAACTCCAAATAAAGAAGCAGATAAGGCAAATCTGAAGGAAGATACAACAGCAGAATCATTAAGAGATTTTTTCAGAACTGTTCAAAGAAAGTTCCCTGAGAACTGAAGATTTTATATCTGAAATATGAAGAATTCAAAAACCCTGAGGCCAGATAAATAAAACTCTCCTCCCCCGTTAATATATACTCTTAAAAAAAAAAAAAAAAATCACCTAAGAGAACACAGGAAACCTACAGACTGGGGAAAAAAAAAAAAAAAAAACTCACTGCCATCGAGTAAATTTGACTCATAGTGGCCCCTCCTTGGGTTTCCGAGGCGGTATCTTTACAGAAGTAGATTGCCCAGTCTTCCTTCCAAGCTGTGGCTGGTGGGTTTGAACCACCAACCTTCTGGTTAGCAGTCAAATGCCTTAGGCACTACACCACCAGAGTATCTCCCAATATATACTCACTGCTCCCTAAGTTTCCTATCTAATCTTTCGAATAGCTGTTGTCAGTTTGATCCTACATAGATATTTCTTAAAAGAGCACAATGCTCAAGGCAGATTCTTCACTAGTTAAGTTGAAGTATTTGGTTTTTAGAAGACTTCAGGGGATATTTTTAGTTTAAGGTTTAAAGAGTACCTAAGGCATTTGACTGCTAACCAGAAGGCTGGCGGTTCAAACTCACCAGCCACTCCACAGAAGGAAGACTGAGCAATCTACTTCCATAGAGATACCGCCTCGGAAACCCAAGGAGGCTCACTATGAGTCGGATCCAACTTGATGGCAGTGCACTGCATTTTTTAATATATTGTTTGGTTTTAAGAAGACTTCAGGGGATATTTTTAGTTTAAGGTTTAAAGATTATCTACCGCAGGGCAATAGTTTTTGGGGTTAAAGCAGGGTTTCTTAACCTCAGTACTATTAACATTTTAGGCTGGATAATCCTTTGCTGTGGGGACTGCCCTGATCCATGTAGGGAGTTTAGCAGCATCCCTGGTCCCTTCCTGATAAACGCCTTGGCTATAGTACCACTCCCCACCTTGACAAACAAAAGTGTTCCCAGACATTGTAAAATGTTCCCTGCAAGACAAACTCACTCCCAAGTTGAGAATCACTGCTATAAAGGTAAATAATTTTTCACAAATACCTGTCAGAAATAAAGTAGCAGTATGGTAAAGCTATGACATTCAAAACCAAGGCCTAGCTCTTTCGCATACATTTTTGACCCAAGTAGGAAATACACAGGGATGCCCTACTCAAAGTTGGTGGGTGACCACAATGTTTTGAATGTATGTTGGCCACCACCTTTGAGCGGGGCACCAGTACCTGTTTCCTACTCAGGTCTAAAACCTATGCAAAAAGAGGTTAAGAGTGAACCATTTTGAACTGGTTTGAAGCCATGTTCAAAACATACAACAACAAACACAAGGAAACAACTTTTCTTTTGTATCATCCTCATGTTTAGAAGAATCAAACAAACCTAAAATAGGGTACTTTCAAAATCTGCAAGAGGGAATATAAAATGTAGTAAGCCATCCTAGACAACAATCTGGCAATCAATATGTCAAGCATTTATGATCATGCCCTCTAACCCAGTAATTCCAAAATGTTCAACAATAGGGAAATTATTTAATATAGAAAAAATGGGAGGAAACTGCTCTACTATTGACTATCTCTGGGTTATTAAATAAGGAATTTTGTTTTCTTTTTCTTACAGTGACTATACATTACTTTTAATTACTCAACAAGTGCCAAGCAAAAGTTTCATACCAAAAAATTTAGACTGGGCCTTTGTTGACACTCAGGGCTGAATAATCAGTTTCCAGCCAAACAAAATACAGGCATATGAGTTGAACATTTACTCAAGTAGATACACTCCTTGGAGAGAACAATCATGGGAGAAAGAAGGGCTGCTTATGCACAGGGAGACAGCTCAGGGGGCAGGAGTGTATGGAAGGATGGACACTGGGAAGAGGTAACCATGGGGAGGAAGTGGGAGGGGAGCGGTTGCATTGTGATAAACTGTGGTCAAAGACATGAGACAAAGTATATGTGAACTGCTGTATGGAAAGTGAATTTGCTCTGTAAATCTTCACCCAGATCACAATAAAAAAAAAAATAGAAGACGACGACAAGAACCATAATCAACACTTTAACTCAATGACTCCAACAATTAGAAAAAGAACAACAAAAGAAAACTACAGTACCCAGAAGAAAGGAAATAATAAAGATCAGAGCAGAAATAAATAAAGCAGAAAACAAAAAAAAAATACAGAAAATCAACAAGACAAGAACCTAGTTCTTCCAAAAGATTAAAAAAATCAACAAACACTAGCAAATTTAACAACAACAACAAAAAAAAGATGCAAATAACACAAATAACGAATGAAACAGGCAACATCACAACAAAACCAACTGAAATAAAACAGGTAACAGAATATTATGAAGAACTGTACTCCAACAGATTCGAAAACTTAGAAGAGATGGACAAATTTCTAGAAACAGTAGACCTACCTAACCTAAGCCAGCCTGAGATAGAATACATGAAGAAACCCACAATAAAATAAGAAATTGTGCATGTCATAAAAAAATTCCCCACAAAAAAAAAGTCCTGGCGCAGACTGCTTCACTGGAGAATTCTATCAAATGTTCAGAGAAGAGCTGACATCTATACTACTCAAACTATTCCAGAACATAGAAAATGATGGACTATTCCCAAATTCATTCTATGAAGCAAGTAAAACCCTGATACCGAAACCAGGTAAAGACACCACTAAACAGGAAAACTACAGACCAATATCCATCATGAATATAGACATAAAAATCTTCAACAAAATCTTAGTCAACAGAATCCAACAACAAATGAAAAAAATAATACACTATCACCAAGTGGGATTCATACCAGGTATGCAAGGATGGTTCAACATCAGCAAAACAATCAATGTCCTCCACCACATAAATAAAACAAAAGATCGTATCAATTATGCAGAAAAGGCATTTGATAAAATCCAACACCCATTCCTGTTCAAAACTCTCAGCAAAATAGAAATAGAAGGGAAATTCCTCAACATAATAAAGGGCATATATGCGAAACCAACAGCCAGCACTATTGTCAGTGGAGAGAGACTCAAAATATTCTCCTTGCGAACGGTTACCAGTCAAGGATGCCTTCTATCACCATTTCTATTTAACACTGTATTGGAAGTCCTAGCCAGGGCAATAAAGCAAGAAAGAGAAATAAAAGACATCTAAATTGGCAAAGAAAAAGTAAAGCTAGCTCTATTTGCAGATGACATGGTCCTATGCATAGAAAACTCAAGAGACTCAGCAAGAAAATTATTAGAACTAATGGAAAGGTTCAGCAAAGTAGCAGGGTACAAGATCAACATACAAAAATCAGCTGGATTCCTCTACATAAACAAAGAGATCTTGGAAAAGGAAATAAGGAAAACAATACCATTTACAATAGCTACCAAAAAGATAATATACTTAGGAATAAATCTTACCAGGGACACAAAAGACCTATACAAAGAAAACTACAAAACACCACTACAAGAAACTACAAAAGACCTACATAAATGGAAGAACATGCCATGTTCACAGATAGGAAGGCTAAATATTGTGAAAATGTCAATACTACCCAAAGCAATCTATACATTCAGTGTAATCCCGATCCAGATTCCATCAGCATTCTTTAAGGACATGGAAAAACCAATCACTAACTTCATATGGAAAGGAAAGTGACCTCAGATAAGCAAAGCACTATTGAAGAAGAACAAAGTAGGAGGTTTCACACTCCTAGATCTCAAAACATACTGTATGGTCACAGCAGTCAAAACAACCCGGTATTAGTACGACAGACACACAGACCGATGGAAGAGAATCGAGAACCCAGAAATAGACCCATCTATCTATGGACAGCTGATCTCTGACAAAGCATCAAAACCATTAAATGGGGGGAGAAATAGCCTCCTTAATAAATGGTGCTGGCAAAACTGTATACCCACTTGCAGAAAAATGAAACAAGACCCGTATCTCACAGCATAACAAAAACAAACTCAAGATGAATCAAAGACTTCAATGTAAACCCCAAAACCATACAGTTCATCAGAGATAAAACAAGGGCATCCCAGGGGCCCTAGTATATGGCATTAATATACTATCAAGCATAACCCAAAATGCACAAGGAGCAGAAGAGAAAAAGTTGATGACTGAGACCTTTTAAAAATTAAATTCTAAGTGCATCAAAAGATTTCTCCAAAAGGGCAAAGAACAAACCTAAAGATTGGGAA